TGTCTCTCTCTGTCTGTCTGGCGAGCACACGCGCCCTACAGTGAAAATCTCTCAAAAAAAAAAAAAAGAATAAAATTACTTAAGACAAATTATTCAAGAAAGTAAAGGTATTTACACTGAAATTTTCAAAACATTGCTGAAAGATATTAAATAAGTCATAAATACATGGACAAACATTCTGTGTTCATGGATTGGAAGATATGTTTATTTTTTTAGAGAGATTGCTGCTATAGGGTACGTGTGCTCGTCAGAAAGTGAGAAATCATCCCACATGAGGGACAGCCACATCACAATCCCTTCTCCTCCATTCTCCTTTCAGGATTTTTGGCACTCATGCCCACACGTCCATTGTAAAAAAAAAATTTAAGAGTTTTTTTTGCTATAGGGCACATGTGCTCACTAGAGAGAGACAGAGAGATAGAAAGCAAGAAATCACCCCCCAGGGGGAATGGCCATGCTGCAATCCCTTCTCCTCCATTCTCCTCTCGGGATCTTGGGCATGCACGCACATGCGCCCGGTGTGAATTTAAGCCACCGGGTCCAGGACTAGAACTGCAGTCGACTACATGGGAGTTCAGTGACATAGCCATTACGCTAACTGGTGGTCCCACCCGTTGTGAATTTAAGCCACTGGACCAGAGACTACATGTGACGTAACCATCACACCCTCTACTGATCACCGAATTCATTCTTCTTAATTCCCCTATAACGACTTCAGTTCTCTGACAGACTAATATAGATTATGATTTGACCACTGCTCCTTGATAGGGTGGAAATGATGACCTTTTGAGCTCACTATAACTTAGAGGAATGTGGAACCTTTCACTCTCAAGTTTCCTCATCCTTAAGACTCTCCTATTCTACTCTATTACTCTAAGGGGTAGTAGTGTAGCGGCCCCACATCTCTAATGAAGTTTGTTTTACAAATGAGTCCTGAGGAATCAGGTCTCTTGCAGGAAACAAAATTAATTATTGTACTTATGTAATTCTGGGTTTGGGATCCTAACACGTAACAATATAAGACCTTCATTGTAGAAATGACAGTCAGTTCTTTGAATGCCTATGGTTCTATTAAAATCATTCCCTACCTGACAAGTCATTTGGGTCATTCTTCCAAATTAGTGAAGGCAAAGAATTGGGAATCACAGGAACAGCAATTAGCGTAATGATTATGTTGCTGGACTCGAGTCCCGGGCCTGGTGGCTTAAACTCACACCGGGCGCATGTGTGTGAGTGCCCAAGATCCCAAGAGGAGAATGGAGAAGGAATTGCAGTGTGGCCATCCCCCAGGGGGGAGTGATTTCTTGCTTTCTGTCTCTCTGTCTCTCTCTGTCTTTCTGGCAAGCACACACATTCTATAGCAAAAAATGAATTGGGAATCACCAGTCCTACAAAAAGAATTACTATACATGTCATTCTAAATCTATTGCTCACATTGTAAATACACACCAATAGTACTCCTAATTATCCAACTCAGGATGTGGTAGAATGCCGCCACTGCCAGAGCCATGACACTAAAGCAGGATAGGGTCAGAGGAAGAAATTCTCCAGTCTTTTCCCTATGTTCCCCTTTACAATCCCCTGCTACTGTGTCCCACTGCTAATCTGAACTGTAATTCAGAGATCAAAGGAGCCTAGCTGACCTGGACAGTAAATATTTACTAAGAGCCACCTCAGAAAAAGTAAAAATTAAAAGAAAAAGTTAAAAAGAAAATAACAGATGAATTTAAATTCTACCTGTGAGCATGCACATACGAACACTTCTTTTTGGTTTTGTTTCTCTAGACACTATCTTGCCACATTATGATCCTATCTCAGCCTCTTGAGTAGCTGGGCACGCTCAAGTCCACACCAACACATCTGACTCTTTCACACAGGATCTTGAGATGACAGTTAAGCTGTCCATGGACTCATGAGTCTCCTGCTTAAACCTCCAAATTAAGCTGGGACTACAGTGCATGTTGCAACAACTGGTTTTTAGGGTGGGTTGAGACTCGACCCTGGGCCTCCCGTGTGACTCATCCTGCAAAACAGAAGAGTTCAGTAAATAATATTTCACCTGAGCTAATGTTACATTTTTTATTAACAACTTTTTATTTTATTTATTATTATTTTTAATGTGACCAGAGAGGGAGAGAGGGAACGTGCGAAAGCAAGCCGCCAGAGCAAGGTTTCGAACTTGGCCATGTGTGAGTTCAGTACCTTAACTACCATGCCACCTGTCAGCACAGCCAAATTTGATTTTAATAATGCATTTTAATTAGCACAAAATGTTTAAAAAAATAACAATTTCAACACAGAAGCTACATAAATAAAGCGACATAAATACATAGTCACTTAATTTTACATTTTTAGCAGGTTTTAAAAAACCTGTACATTATCATTTCAACAGATAAGTAATGTCAACAAATTAAAATTCTCCATTCTTCTCTCTTTTGAAGTCTGACATGCAATCTGTAAATTCAAAGAGGAAACAATACTCATATATTATGTACTAGTTATTTTTACATGTTAGTTCTAGCAGGGGGCAGCTTCCTGATGAAGACACCAATAGATAGTTCATGGTCTAACTTTTTTTTAATTGCAGTTGGTTCTAATACACAGTCTATGTTATAAATCAGTATGTTATCACCACAAGAAGGAAATGATAAAAACAAATTAATAACTCTTTTTACTGTTTCTTACATTCATTTATCTGAGTCTTTGAAATATAGCTTATTAAATGTATAAGCAATAAGAACAAAACATTCATCTTATTTTCTAATGTATGAAAGTCAGTATCTTATCATTTCAATAAACAAACCATATAAATATATTAATTTCACTTTCTTATTTCTTACTAAGTCTTTAAAATACATATGGTTTATAATTCCGTAAGGAAACACTGCACGAATTAGTCATTTTTACCTTCTGATATGTCACTAAGTCATTGAAATGTAGTGTGTTGGTATTTAAATACGCGAGCAAGAGGAACAATAAACTATCTTTTTTATTTTACTAATTCTTTCCAATGTGATGCTTTGTCATTCCAACATGTAAACTTATAAACAGATACTCAGTTAGATATTTTAATCTCATTTAACCTTACTATGTCTTTGAAATGCAGTAGTATCATTTCAACATGTAAATGAGATGAACAGATTATCAATTCACCTTCGCCTATCTTTACCAATTCTTCCACGTGCAGAATGTCATCATTTGAATACATAAACAATAAAGCAATTTTTTAAGTAGTTATTCTACATCCATTTGTTTCTTACTTTCTTGGAGATACAGTGTGCATCTTACCCTTCTCATAGTAGCCACACTTCAAGTGTCCAGTAGCCACATTGAGCTGGAGTTTAACATACTGAATGGTGCAACTCTAATGGAAGGACAGAGCAAATACACGTGGGACCATGTGTATCATGAGGGAAATGTATATGTTATATAAGACAGAGCAACAACATGGTAAAGTGAGGGAAGTAACCAAAAAAGTTAAGTGCAATGAAGTGAGAGAAAACGTCTCTGAGGAGGTAACATTAAGCCACGACCTGGTTGAGATTCTATCCAACAGCATAAGTGGCAACAGACTAATGAAGACATTTGTATGTATGTACAAATGTTGAAATGCCAAAGCTTTGCATTCTAAAACGTTAGCAAGAAAAAAGGAATGTCAATTAACTCATAGTTTGTTTCTATTGCTCATATGATTAGCAGTAAGTAGGTAGTGAAGTATACTTCTGTTTTGTTTCATTTTTCTTTTTAATGGATTCTTTTTTGTTGTTATTCTTTCTTTTTTTTATTTTGGAGAGGTTTTTTTCTATAGGGCACATGCGCTCACCAGACAAACAGAGAGAGACAGAGAGACAGAAAGTGAGAACTCACTCCTCGGGGGTATGGCCAAGTCACAATCCCTTCTCCTCCATTCTCCTCTTGGGATCTTGGGCATGCACGCACATGCCCGGTGTGAGTTTTAAGCCAGCCGGTCCGGGACTCGAACCACGGTTGACTACATGGGAGTCCAGCGACATAGCCATTACACTAACTGCTGGTCCCTCCTTTTAATGGTTTCTAATAAACAGCCTAAGACAATCCTAAATAAAAGAAGTTTAAATGACCTCAGAGGGTAAAATTATTAGATTCAATAACCACTTTCTATTCCATAGAGTTACCCAGGAAAGGTTTTAGTTGTCCTGACTTGAAGCAAGTGCCTGTAAGTGAACCAATCAGTGTAGATGACAAAATGGTTTTCATTACTGGGTCAACCAACACCACAAACTCAATACACTGATCAGTGACAAGGAGGATGCAGGGGGAATTAAGCAAGGGACTCAAAGGACCTCTCAAAAGCCTCTACTTATTTATATCCCTTATAAAGAGGCCTGCCGCATATCTGAGTTTTCTCACACCAGTTTCCTGAGCAGTAGAATTGTACTTGTGTCTCTACAATTTGGACTTTGGCAAGAACACTGAGTACTTCAATGGCCACATGTTGGTGTGGGAAAAAAAGTCCTTGTCCTGTGAAAATCATTTGGAACGAATGGTCCAGTGCATGTCTTTCCGCTGTACCGCCTGCAACATTGCCCTCAGCTGGGCCTGTACTTCAGCACATTTCCCTTGGTCCAAACTGTCTTGAAGATTCCAATGTTCATAGCAATGGACAGGGACAGGACAAATTACGAGCTTCAGGTCCATCAAGGCTGTTAAGTGGCGCAGAAGGCTTGTGAGCACAGGCATTGTAATGGGGTTGAAGGCAAAGCTAAGGACGCGAAGGTGGGAACAGCGGCTCAGGATGGGGATGAGAGGAGAGAGAGTAGAATCTGTGATCAGGCAATTATTTAACTCCAGATACTGCAGAGTGCCTGATGCTGTCTCCAGCAGCACCTGGAAGGACTCAGAAGAGGCCCAGGACATATCATTATTACTGAGATTCAACAGTGTTAAGTGCTTGGCCTGAGGGCTCTGAGACAGGGCAGTGATGTCTCTGTCAGAAAGTCCACAGACAGACAGACACAATGCATCCATCTGAGGTGGCAGGACTCTGTTGAGAAGACAAACAAAAAAAAGAATGTCATATTCGAAGAATGAAGACTGAACTAGGATAAAGAGTCCTGAATTGTATATGTCTACGGCTCTAGATTGAAATAATTTGTGCATATATTGCAACAATGGTTAACAATGTGGGCTTTGGAATCACACTGAATAGACTGCCAACTCTGAGAATGTTACTTTTGCACTCAGAGTTTGTCCAACTTTAAAATGTGCACAGCAGCAATTATTACACCAGCCTGTGGGAAAAATTAAGTGAAAAAAAGTAATGCACTGAGTACTGAGGACATAATGGTGGATCTAGTTTGATTACTTGGTGTGTATGGGTCTGGGAAAGAAGCCAACTAATGGTTTCCTTTGGCTAATCCCCAAATGACAACTTTGCCAGTCAGGGTCTAAGCCTTAAGGAAGAAGTACAGGAGCAAACTGATCTGGCAGCATTATATATTATTAGATGGCAGTCAGTCAATGGGGATGCATATCAGTGCTGTGGCATAAATCATTTCTCTACCTGAATGTTTCCCCTTTCTCTCTAGAAGACTTGACCTTCCAAAACTAGAAGGACTGCATCTTTTATAATGATGTATCTCTACCTACTCTTCCTACTGTCTGCACATGGTTGAGTGACTAACTGAATGAGCACAGTTTATTCTCCTAATATTGTCTATCTCTAAAGCATCAGGTACCACTCCCTACCATGGCCATTTTCAAAGCCCCAGCAGTGCTCATGCTGTGGTGGGAGGAGAAATTGGGTACAAGGAGCTAAGGAATTGCCAAAACTGCTTGCTCTTCTGTCTTAACAATGGAGTGTTCAGGAAACCCAGGACCTTCCCCCAACCCTCACCTGAGCAGTCTGTGCAGCTGACCGGAGAGGTAGAAGAAAGACAGGCTGAGCTCCTGCAGGTTGTCCATCCGCCTAAGGTGGGTAAGGAAAGTTCTGAAGTTTCTCCCCTTGCAAGACTTAGAAGAAATTTTAGACAGAGTAAGTCTGTCCAGGTGGATCATCCGAGCCAAAAGGGTGGTGACTTCATTGAGACGAGCCTCATTCACTTCCAGGTACTCAGTGCAGCCCAGATCTAGGATCTGTAGGAAGCTTTTGTGGGCAGATATGTTAACAATTTGCAACTCTCTGCAGCAGAGGTGCAAGGACCCAGAGCTCTGATTAACTTTACTCTTAAGGAAAGAAAGAAATTGCCTTGTTCTCAAGTTATCATTCAAGGAAAGCTCCACTAATAATTCCATAGGTTCTCCAGATGATCTAGGCTCAGTCTCTGAATGAACACATCTGAGGCACCTAACACTGTGCTGGGCTTTGTCACCATTCAGGATAGAGCGCTGAGAGCAAATGCAAGACTGAAAACAGAACGGACATGTGGTCTTGATCTCAGAGCATGTGGTCCTGCAGTCTGGGTCCAGCCTTAAATCTAGGACCCTCAGTTTGGGCCCCCTGTAAGGAGAAGATGAGACAAAATGTCTGATTTAGGTCACTTAAAATCCGGCAGGACCAATGATGGGGAGCAGGAACAAAACCCTTTACCCCCGATTTTCTCTCTAACAAGTCTTTCCCACACAAATTCAATACCTTTCATTTCTTTCTCTGTCTTGTCTTCTCTTCTGAGCCTTGTACCCCTCCCCCATCTCAATCTCTATATCCTTGTATGTAACCATACCCAGTAACGAAAACCAAGACTACTAGTATCCACAATCACCTCTATTCCATGATCAAATCTGTATGATGTTAGCATCCTTCAAGTGACCCCAAGTGTTGGATTACCAGCTTTACAGAGATCCTCAGCATTCACCATCAACTACTTGGGGGAGACTTTCAAGACCTCCTCTGCCCAAGGTTCTAGCATACCCTCACACTGACTCACCATGTCTCTTATTATACCAAGTCTTACCAGGAGGAAGAGTTCTGGGATGGGAGGATCGGTAGACCATCAATCAGGGCTTCCAAGATTTCATAGTGTGCATTCGGTGCACTCAATATCCCGATATGGAGACAGTGAAAGGGCCAAAC